AAAATAAACAACATCAATTCTTTTTGAAAATAAGTGCATCAGCTTCAATATGGTTGCTGATTTTACTCGTAAGACCGCGTGGAATATATAACCGCGCTTAGAAAAGTTTTAACTATAGTGTATTTTACATAATGCAGAACCGTAATTAACAAAACGAACAATAGGCGTAACAATGCGTAACTATGCGCACTAATAATATTCATTCGGCTATTAATATTTAGATATAATTTACGAATACCTTGTAAAGTATACGTTACAGTATAGTAAAATATATATATAGAACTTTTACATTAGCAAATCTTTAAATATAAATAGTTGTTAACAACAAAACTTTAGGGAAAAAATATTAAAAATTTAAATAATAGATAAATTAATTAATAGTACTCTAAAATGTTATCGAGGGAAAAAATTAGATTTTTAATTTTGTTTTTAAAAAGACAAAAAGAATTTGGTCGATCAAAATCAACATTAGGTAAAAAGTTTATTCCATAGGTAAACTAAAAACTAAAAAAATCTTTAAAGACTGGGGGGGATAGATTGTTTTTCCACATATAAACAAAGCATAAAATTTTTAAAACGTTGAGTTGAAATACATTTAAAATTTTCATCTCAATAAAATAAGGTTTACAATGAGAAAAACGATCAGCAAAGTTAATTATGCGAATTGCTCGTTTCTGACAGCGATAAAGACGAAGTAGTTTACTTTTTTCAGTACTTCCCCAGGCAATATTAGCGTAGTTTATGTAGCAGTGAATAAATGAGAAATAAAGTTGCCTTAAGTGTTTCTTATTGAGATAAGTTCGAGCTTTGTACAAAACTCCAATGTTTTTAGAGACTTTAGTGCATATATAGTTAATATGTTGATTCCAATTAATGTTCTCATCGAGATAAACACCTAAAAATTTAATAACGGAGTCTCTTTTTATTTCAATTTCATCAATAAAGATTGGAGGGAAGTTTAGGGGTAAAAAATTTTTTTTCCTATTCGAATGAAAAAGAGTCCATTTAGTTTTGTCAGTATTTAAAGTTAATTTGTTGGACTTGAACCAGTGGAATAAAACTTTAAGTTCTTTATTCACTGTGACAAAAAGTTCGCCAATATCGCTCTTAGAGATGAATAAATTAGTATCATCAGCAAACATGATGCTCATCAGATTAGTTGCTTTATTTAAATCGTTTATATAAATTAAAAAAAGGAGAGGTCCGAGGATTGAACCTTGTGGAACTCCACAGGTTATACTTAAACAATTGTTGTGATAGTTGTCATTACCAACAACAAATTGTTTTCTATTTGTTAAGTAACTTCTGAACCACCTTAACGCTTGGTTATTTACTCCATAGTATTTCAGTTTTTTGAGTAGGATGTGATGGTCAACCGTATCGAAGGCCTTCGATAGGTCGATAAAAATACCTAATGTATATTTTGATTGTTCAAACGATTTTGAAATTTCATTTACAATTTGGATAATTGCATGCTCTGTTGAGCTATCCTTTTTAAAACCAAATTGATTAACATAGAGTAGGTTATTTTTGTCAAAGTGTTTATATATTCTGTTGTACATAATTCTTTCTAAGATTTTTGAAAATACAGAGAGCACAGAGATGGGACGATAATTAGTTATTTGGGATTGGTCACCATCTTTATAAATAGGTGTAACTTTGGCAATTTTTAATTGTTCTGGAAAGATTCCTTGTTTAATTGAGGCATTAAAAGCTTTGAAAAGAACATCTTTTAGTTGCTTAAAGCAATCTATTATCACATTTCCATCTATTTCGTCTGGTCCACATGATTTATTCTTTTTAATAGATTTGAGCGCCTTTTCGAGTTCTTCAATTGATAAATCAGAGGATAGCTCATCAGAGCATATGCACTTCCCCAAGGATAATAAAAAGTCACTAAACAAAGTTCTTGTGATAGGAATCTTATTTGATAGTTTAGGACCTATTTCAGTAAAAAATTTATTAAATTCATGTGATATAGCGTTTGGTTCAAATATGCTAGTGTTTTCTATTTTAATCATTTGTGGCAGAAAACCAAAGCATGATTTTTGTTTTTCTATAATTTCCTTCATTATTTCCCAAGTGCGCTTGGTGTTATATTTGAATTTGTTAAGTAATTCCGAATAATATTTTTTTTTTAAGTTTTTACGAATTTTCTCAAATAAATATTTATAGTTTTTGTAAATTTTTTCGTTTGCAGTTGTTTTTGTTTTTAGAAAATTTATATATAACTTTTGTTTGATTTTGGAAGATTTTTTAAACCCCTTGGTAATCCAAGGAGAATTCAAACTCTTTGGTTTTGCTATTATTTCAACTACGGGAAAGTTAGCGTCGTATACAGAATAGAAAGTTTTGAAGAAAGTTTCATATATGTCGTTTGCATTATTGTTTATGTTAATATTATTCCAATGGAGTAAGGATAGTTGGTCTTTGAATAAATTAAGGTTATTTTGATTAATGATACGTTTCTTCAATACTTTTTTGTTGTCAATGTTTTTTGCTGTATATGTATCAATTGTTACAAAAATGGGAAAATGGTCCGTTATATCAGTTTTTAATATACCTTTTTTTATACCCTTATTAAAAATATCAGTTGAAATAATATTATCGATTAAAGTCGCTGAGTTTATAGTTACTCTGGTAGGGCGATTAATGAGGGGGATTGATCCTGTTTCAAAAAATGTGTCATAAAAACTTTTTACTTTATAGTCATTGTTATAAAGAAAGCAATTCATATTAAAATCCCCAAGCAAAATATTTTTTTTCTTTTCGGTATCGCCTTTTTTAATGACGTTATGCAAAAACATGCTAAGATTTTCACTCATGCCAGCAGGTGGCCGATAACAACAGCTAACTAATAAGTTTTTTGTTTGGTTGCTTTCAATTTCAATTGTTAAGACTTCTTTGTCGCTATCAGAAATGCTCAAATCGCCTCTAAAAACAAACCTAAGTGTTTCGTGCGCATAAATTAGTACTCCACCACCTCGTTTATTTATTTGTCTCTCCAAAGAAATAATATTAAAATGCGGAATTTGAAAATGACTATTTAGATCTTTTGATGTAATCCACGTTTCTGTTAAACATATTATATTAAAAAGGTTTTTCGTTTCTTCTATTAGATTTAAAAGTTTTTCAAAGTTACTATTTAGACTTCTTATATTGAGGTGGAGAATTCTAATTTGATTCGAATTTTTGTCAATAACATTCTTAAAAAGATACTCTTCTAGTTCGCTTGGAAAAATATACGAACAATCTGAAAAAAGTCTCACAATAAAAATTATTGTCGGGATCTGAGTTTTCGTCCTGGGAAAAAAATTCTTTTTCGAAAAAATTAAACGCGAGAGATTCAAAATTATTTAATGCAGCCATGATTGTTTTATATATGTTTAAAAGAGTTTTTTTTAAGAGTGTGAATTAGTTTACTTTTTTCTATTGTTATCATAAAAAGAATTTTTAAAACAAATAATTTTATCATACAGAACCGCAACATTCTCTCCGTTTAAACGTCTTTGTTTTACATCAGTAAACAATTTTTTCCTGATGGCAACGGTTTCAAGTGAAAAGTCTTCGTTAACGAAAATGTTTGTTCCTTTTATTCGTTGTAGTTCTTTCAGTATTTTTACTTTATCTTTATATCGTTGAAGGTTGAGGACTATTGTCCGAGGTTTTCCATTTTTCTTTTGTCCAGTGCGATGGGCACGCTCAATTTGTGACAACCAACCCACTAAATATATAATTATAAGCACACTTAGTGCGCATACAAATAATGAATATGTAACAGAGCCGACGAAATCGGAGGAAGGGGGGAAGAGGTGATGTCATCGCTCCCTTGCCTATTTTTTACCGAAGGACCTATTTTATTTATTGAAAAGAAATTTTTAGTTATAGAGAACTTCGTTTTAGAAATTGAAATTTATGCCCCTCTAACTCGAAACCCGTTCGTCAGCCTGGAAAGAATTAATTTTTACATAACATAAAAAGAACACCCTAATTCACACCCTACCTACCAATCAAATGATTTTTTCCCCCAATATTAGTTAACTGAAATCTCCACCTATACCCCTAGTTACAACAACCCAATCTATTAATTTTTATTATTGTATTTACTCTCCCTAACCATTCAACCCTTGCTACAATTAGGTAAGTGACAGTAGGTCAACAATTTGATAAAAAATAGGGATACGATATGCAACATCTTACTCAGGCTTTGGAAAAAATTTTATTTAAGTAATAACTAATGGTAAAGTTTTTAAGATTTTGGAGCCCTATAAATTTAAAAGAATTTGCAAACATTGGCACAAGTGCGAAGCAGTTGCAAAAACTGGCATAATTGCGCCAAATCAAATTGCAAATATTAATAAGTGCAAGTTGGCATTTCGCACTTTGAAAATTTGTTTGGCGCACTTTTGCCAGTTTTTGCAACTGCTTCACACTTATGCCAATGTTTGTCAATTCTTTTGACGCACGTGAAGCAGTTTTTGTAACTGCTTCGCATTTATGCCAATGTTTGCAACTGCGTTGCACTTATGCCAGTTCACGCTTATTTAGTCTTTCTGTTTTAATGTTCTGTTGGTAACACTAGATGTTGAAAACAATGTAAGATTAAATAAATTTTTAATTAAATATATGTGTATATCTTTGTTGTTAATTTATTAAAAGATTAAACATAATTTTCAAAGAGCGGCCCAAGGTAAAATAGCTCGTGGCCATAGATACAATTTAAAAAGTTTACTATACCTAGGGCCACTATTTTTTAAAGCTTTCTACATGACGGACTTTGATAATTTAAGTAGTTATAACTATATTAATACAAAGTAATTAATATAGTAAATAATATAATAATATAGTAAATAATATAAGTATAGAGATTTGATCATATCAGTTTTAGGATTTTGCTAATAACCCTTGGTAATACTTTTGTTAAACAGGGCCGGGGTTATCTAAGTCTTCATATTAAGCCAGGGCCCCGGTCACCATCAATCACATTAAGTAAAATGAGCTAAAAAGAAAAAATATTTATCTAAACATTAATCTTTATGTATGATAAAACTATTGGATTTAAACTCAAACAAATTTGTAAAAAAATAAGTATTAACAAATCCACATATTTAATTTGGAAACTAAAAATGTCCAGTAAAAATAACTATAAACTACAACATAGATTTACATTCGAGTTAATTGTCTTGTATGACTTTTAATTCACCTGGTTATCATACATAACATCTATATTGATATTGCATTGCTAAAGAAAACATTATTCTATGTTTGGCCTCATACTTTATAATTGCGTGATGAAAGCACTGAGAATTAAACGCATTTGATAAGAATGTTACATGTGATGGAGAGACTGTGAATTTAATGCACTTAATAAAACAACAATTTCCTCATTATTTTCTTGTGTAAACTGAATTAAATTATGTCTTTCTAGGCCCTGCATAGACTGCAAAGGAACAGATGTGATAACACCATTTTGACTTATTATTTGCCCTAATGTAATTGGTATATTATGCTCTCCAAGGCTTACAACTTGTTGCTGATCCTCATTTAATCGGATATTATTTTGCATTATTGGCGATAACTCAGATTCATTTGTAACATTATTGTATGGAAGAACACGCCCATGAGGTAGCTCATCTGATAAAGAAAGAACTTGTGAGTGGTCATTTCCTTGAACATTAATTACATGACTGTGATCCACATTTATTGGGTTAGTATTACTACTGACCCCGTGTACAACTAAGACTCGTTGGTCTACATTATTATGTAGTGATGAGCTCTCTGTAACAATTGGTATAGAATCATCTTCTTGTACCAATATCAACTGACCAGTTTCATCTAGGGTTAAAATACGACGACTGACTAAAGTATTTGGATGTAGTATATTAGAACTTTTATGCATAACGGAGATTTGGTCTTGTTCTTTATTTTTTTGTAATTTATTTTCATTTTCATCAGCACCTTCATCTTTAAATAAATTTTGTATTTCTGCATTTAAATGTTTATTTTCAAATGTTTCCTGAATTTGCATATTTTCATTTATATTTGGAATATTTGGTTCTGAATTGTTTACCCCAGAGGAATCAACCTCTAGCATATCAGTTAAATTAGACTCTGAAGTACACATATTTGCCATGACACCAGCAGCTTCATTAGTAAGATGATCAAAATTTGAATTTTTGTTATTAACCTCCTCATCCCTATGATTATGAGACATCTCACTTTCATGTTTGGCAATATTATGCTTTGTTAGTGATGTACTTGTTTTAAAACGATGTGGGCAGTGATCACATTGAAAAGGCTTTTTATTAAACTTTTTATATACAACGCCAGGCTTAAAAGTACCATCTGCTTTGGGTAAAATACCATGCTGTGCTACCATGTGCTTTATCAGAACTGTTTTATATTTAAAAGTTTTTCTGCATAAACCACACACTGTTGAATTGATGCGAACCTCTCTTTTTTTACGCTCACGAGGTTCTGCTGGGTGGCGATCTTGTTGATGCCTTAGTAGATGTGCTTTACGTTTAAACTTCTGATCACAGTGATTGCAGGGAAAATCACGAACACCACAATGCCTTAAACCATGTAGGTATACTGAATGGGATACATTTAACTTTCGCTGACATGTTTTACAATTAACAGATTCATCTCCTGGTAGAATATGCACAGAGTCACAATGAGATTTTAAGTCCATCTTTAATGTAAACTTAGCATCACAGGCCTGGCAATTAAATACTTCATTTGAGCCATCTTCTTGTCTTGTTTCTGATAAATGAGTTTTCATATGAGTCACTAAATGCTGTTTTCTTTTAAAAGTAGCACTACATATTTCACAATTAAAATCCCTAGTACCAGTATGCTTCATACTATGGTGATACACCGCTAATGGTGTTTGAAGTTTATGTCTACAAACACTACATTGAACCATATCTCCATTATTATGCTCAGCAAAACAGTGATCTTTTAATTCTGACTGTACTTTAAAATTTACATGACAAACATCACATCGAAAGTTTTTTTCTTCTTCATGAACACGCAAATGCTGATAAAGGTGAGACCATCTTTTGTATGCAAGACCACAATATTGACAAATAAACTTTCGTTCAGTCGAGTGAGAAGTCATGTGTCTTCTTAGTTCAGCACCAGTAATACATTTTTTACCACACATTTCACAAGGAAAATTTCCCCCATAGTGCACAGCTACCTTATGCGCCCATAACATCTTTTTAGTTTTTAACGATTTTTGGCAAATATCACATTGGACACGTTGACCATCTGCAACAGCAATCTGCTGCTGTTGTTTTTTATTTAAAAACCTGGCTTGAGAAAACACATGCTTTGGAAAAGTAACTTTTCCATCTGAATCTTGTGATAAAGGTTGTGTTTGAACAGTAATAGGTTGCTGCAAAGCTTGTTGGTATTTTGGAATTGATTGAGTTGATAGCATTGCAGGAACAATATCTTGATACTGCAAGTTGCTGAGAGATTCATTGTTGGCTATTAAAGAATTTAGAGAGTTCGATGTATCTTGTTTCTTTGCAATAATTGTGTGAGACTTTAATAAACTTCCTTGTTCTAAGAAACTGTCATGATTTATAGAATCAATATGTGAAGTATCAGCTGATGATTTAATAGAAATATTTGGTGTTATATGGGCAAATTCAGTGTATTGCTTATGTTTAGCTGCAATTTTGATACTACTAGATAATTTGGTAATCTTCTTTTGACTTTCCTTATTGACATTTGCAGATGCTGACCAAAAATCATTAATAAGATGTTGATAGGTAAGTGCAAGAAGCTCCTCAGTTAACCAAGAGTCTTTCCAGCGCACTCGATAAGATCTTTGTCCATCCTAACAACATATATATTTTATAAAAAAACAATTTTATGCAACTTAAAATTACTTAAGGTAAAATGTATTTTAGAATATTTTTTAATAACAAAAAACCTTAACAATTTTATTAATAACTTTGATTAAAATTCTGAACTTATTACTTAATTTTAAAACTAATATAATTTAATTTTTAATTTAAAAAAGTAGTATAAAACAGAATGGTAAAAGCAAAATCATAAAATGTAAAAAAAAATTGGTGTTAATAGATTTGTAGTGACATTAATAAACTGCAGCACTATTACTGCTTTAAAAGGTCACCAGTCGTCAGTAGTTAAAACTAAAGTAATAAAAACATGGCCACCCAAAAAACAATTGTAAATTTTACATTTTAGTTATATAAACAGCCAATCAATTCCACATTTATAACTGTGATTGAAACAAGAAAAAATCAGCTAAATTTGTTTCAAATTCATTATGGTACAATAAAAATACCGTGGTTGGCTTTTCTAACACGATAACTAGGTACACCGTTTTATATAAAGAAACAGTGAAAGGTCCGTGGTTCAATCACCCTGGCCACACTTACACATAGTTTTTAAATAATCAGTAGGATACCTGAGTCATAGAAAAATCAACTATCTTTTCAGGAACAAATTGAAAACTCGTAGTATCACAAGGAGGCTCAGATTGTTCAGCATCTTGCTGTTGAAAAGTAATTTCTTGATCGTCGTTAGCCGCCATTTTCCTTTTACTCGACGCTAGTATATGGCTGTCAACTAATTGCCGCTTTACCCAGGGCTTTTATTTTTATTTAAAATATTTATTCGTGTACCAAAATTTTGAAAAAATTTTAAGTAATATGAGAAGGTACTATAAAAATTAAAATAGTGATAAGCCTAAATGTCTGATAGCGGATAAAATAACATACCTAACTTCAATTAATTAAAATTTAATGAATCCGTATAAATTTAATACCACTTTTATGTGGCTGTAAAGTATACGAATTTCAAATCAAAATGAAAGAGTAATTCAAAATCATCCTTACGGGAGTTAATCATCAATCGGCTAAGAAAACAAACGAGAAAAGTCAAATTGATTGACTTTCAAACGTTAATTAGTTTTTATTACTGTATAATTATTATTGTGGTAATGCGTATTGATTTATATGTTAACAAAATAGATACAAAATAGGTAGTAAATATTCATTAGCCGGTTGTACTGGTTTAAAACAAAGCCACTATAAACCGATAAATAGTACACACACAAAAAAAAGTTTTTTGTTTTACCTTTTTTTCTAATAAAGAAAAATAATCAAAGTTAAGATGATTATTTTACTTAAATCTCTAAATCTAGCCAATACGAAAGAGAATTTTATGAGTTATTAGAGAGTTTATTATCTAACAGCATAGCATAGCCTCCTATTAATACAATTACTCTAAATAAACTGCTCTTTTTTTAAACTTTTTTTTTTGATCAAAATAATCAACTCATTCACTTTATCCAGCTTTTAATATTTTGGTTTTTAACTATGTTAGTACCTATTATAATGAATGGTTTGCCTCGATTCTATTGGTACCAAATTTAAAAATGAATTCTGATAACACAAAAGCACTTAATATTGCTATTTAATTTACATCTTATTTCTTATTCATTTTCTTTATCCTAATTCATCCTTTAATCTCTTTACAACATCAAACATTGTTTTATAAATGGTTTACTCAGTCATTTGTTTTTTTTAAATTTTTACAAGATTGAATAAAAATATATTTTTAAAATTTCTTGTGTAATGGAAGTTAGATTGATATCAAACAACAAATCTTCTTTTGTAATCTCTTATACTCTTTATATAATTTTATAATTAATTTTAAAATTATAATTGTAGATAATACAATGAACATAATATATATATATATATATATATATATATATATATATATATATATATATATATATATATATATATATATATACATATATATATATATATATATATATATATATATATATATATATATATATATATGTATATATATATATATATATATATATATATATATATATATATATATATATATATATGTTTATATATTTTCCACAAGAGAGTGTTCTTATTGTTTATCAATGATGTGAGCCACATTAATAAAGAGCTTGATGTCAAACTTAAACTTTTTGCTGATGATATTAAATTATATTCAGTCTATGGTGTATGTGGCCCTCAGTCAGATCTTCACACAGCTGTTAATTGCTTGTATGAAAGTAAAGTATTTAGGTCATTTTATCTATATCCTTATAAAATTCCATGAATAGTATGTCATTTTACCACTTTTTTAAGTTAGAGTTGTGAATTAAAAGTCCACACAATTTATCTTTTAATTATATTTAGTGTAACAAGAAGAATCTACTCATATTCAAAAAATTTCCCCTGTACTTCCATCTTTTTACAATACAATTTAGGGTTGGTCTATAAAGTATGTATGTCTTGTAAAATCTTATAATTTTGACTCCTCTCCTCCTGTTTTTTTTTATACATTTAATCATTTCTCAAAAGTATCAACGTTTTTGATTTGCACCCTCTTTTATGAATTAAAAAGAATTATTGAAGTGATATTTTTCTGGTTTTAAATCACAAGTTTGCTTAAATGTTTTTTTTTTTTAGGAATTGGGTACAATTTTAATTGATATCATACTTTATTTCCCCTTAGTTTCATCCCATTTATCCATCAATGTATGATAATATCTGAAAAGTAAATAGAATAGATCATAAATTTTAAAATGCTTGACATCACAGTGCAAATTTGGTTAATTATAGTATTATCATTTATCATCAGGAAAAATATTTAATTTAATAAAAGAAAAGTAATAACTTTCACACTAATTTTGAATCATAAGCTTGCTTAAATGTTTGTTTTTCTTTAGGAATTAGGTATGATTTTAATTGATTTTACACTTTAATTCCCCTTAGTTTTATCCCATTTAACCATTAAATGTATAATAGCTAATGTTGTTAATTTTGTTTATTTTTCTTATAATTTCTTTATAATTTTGTTTTTATTTTCTCTAAAGTTCGAGTAATTAGAAAAATAGCCGTATTGATAGATCGTTTGACTTGAAGTGAATGTTCGAGCCAATCGGGGTTCGAGTTATAGAGAGTTTGAGATATTTGTAGTTTACTGTTATAAAATACTTAGTAAGACCATTTGTCTGCTAGTTTTATATTTTACTGCCTAATCTCGCTCAGAAATTTTACCCCTATTTTCGCCAAAACAATCGTCTTCAGTTTTTTTGTTAATGTTCAAATTGTTGTCTTTTACAGGCTTTCTATTTATTGTATTAAGTGTTAAATACTTATTTAAAGTTCTAATTACAGTGTGCAGTTTAGATCATTGAACAGTTTTTACAATCAATTTGAGAGGCAAATTAGGATTTTCCTAATTTGCCTCTCAAATTTAGCATGCTTGGCCTTTCAATATTTCTCTTTATATTTTTGACCATGTGATGATGTATTCTTAAATCTTTATAATCTGTTAATATCTGCTTAATCAGTAATAAGATCAAAAACTTTTTAATTTTTAACTTCTGTAGTAATGGATAAACCTTGTTATTTTTAAATTAGTATAGTAACTTTTAAAGTCAGTTAATTTATCTATTTTATGCATTTTAATAATAACTCAATTCAAGTCCTTTATCAATTTTATTTAAAGTATATTTATCTGTAACTTTTAATATATTAATTTAATATAATTTTATTTAAAGTATATTAATCTGTAATTTTTATTTTAAAAAATTAGAAGACAATGATGACTCTAGAAGACAATGCTCTTTTCAAAGGTTAAAAATTCAAACTCTTGGCAAAGTTGGAGTTGGATAAATCTCTAAAACCTTTGCATCTTACACAGTCAACTGTTGCATGTTGCATCTTACACAGTCAACTGTTGCATGTTGCATCTTACACAGTCAACTGTTGCATGTTCAAGAACAAGTTTGTTTACCTTATTTTAAAGAAATTACAGAAAATTTGTTTGCTTTTATTATATTAAAAACCAGGTCGTTTTAATTGAATATGAGGTAATGAATGTTTATTGATTTAAATAATCAATTTTAAAAATGTCATTGAACAAATATTACAAAAATGTGATTCTATGTAACATGGTATGTTTGTGACATGTTATAATTTTATGTGGGTATAGTAAGTGGTTATTATGTTGTTTGCTTGGTTTCAAATTGTTATTACTTGGCTAAGTTTACAACAAGAGTGTTAACTTTGCTAGCCAAAAGATGTACTTTGTTATAATGTGACTTGGCCAAGTGGTGTACTTTGCTATAATGTGACTTAACTTTGTTAAGAGCAAGAATGTTGTCCGTGCTTGTAAAGTGGTGTACTGTTATGATGAAACACATAAATTAAATCTGTATGTAGTTAGTGTATTCATAAAATGTGTTGAAAGAATGTGTTTAAAAGAACTGTTAAGAAGATATATAGTTTTTTAATATCTATAATTTTAATATTTATAATTTTAAGTAAATTTTATTGAAAATATATATATATTTCATTAAATATTTATATGCAAATACTTTTATAGTAAATTTTGGTGAAAAGATAATAGTTAATTAAAAAAAAAAATTGTATATAATTTATTTACTTTTCTTTTTTGTTAACAATTTATGCTTTGTTGATAAATAAACTTTGTTAAAAAATGGGTTTCCTTTTTAATAATAGCTCCTCTACATTTAAACCTTAAAAAGTTTCTATTTTCCTTCATTAAATATTTAACTTAAATTTATTATTTTTTATAAAGGTAAGTACAGAAAGTGTTATAACATAAGTTTTAATTACTCTCGTTAAATTTTCAGTATTTTTTTTGTTTAGATAATATTTTTTTCCATCATGTCATTAAATGTTTTTACATACACAGACACACACACACACACACACAGATATATATATATATATATATATATATATATATATATATATATATATATATATATATATATATATATATATATATATATATATATATATATATATATATATATATATACATTTTAATTTTTCTGCATTGTATTATTGACCTATTTTCTTAAGAATATTAATTATATATAAAAAAAATAAAATAGTTCAAAAAGTTTCAATATTTTCATGTTTCTTTACTTGAAGCCAATATATGATTGTTTATTGAGGTTTTTTATTATTAGTTTTGTATTTACTTAGTTATTATTTATTTATTCTTGCATTAAATGTGTTTCAAAGTAATGAAAAGGATTTTTTGATGGAGGGTTACATTTCGTTCTTCAATACTAATAGTATTTACTGAGCAGACAGGCCTTATATTTTTTTTTATTTGCTTCATTTATGAGTTCTTCAATTATGAGTTCTTATGAGTTCATTTATATAGTTCTATATCTGTAAAAATTTTGTAATTTTTTAAATTACTTTTTATTGTTTTTTTGATTAAATGCTATATTTATACTTTGTCAATCATTATTAATAACTACCTTAGATATATAACATTACTCAGTTTTAAAGATTATATCAATTTAATTATGACTTAAGTTTAAGAAATATGTTATCTTTACACATTGCTATATTATATTAAAATATGTAATTTAAATATGGCTAAGAGTAGATGTAGAATAAAATAGATAAATATATTATGTTCTATTTTATTTGCTCACACTTTGTTTTAGATAATTTAAGAAAGAAAACTAAAAGTTCAATCGTAAAATAAAAGTTCAACTTTTATTATATTTAGCATCACTTTTACACTCTCCTTTGATGCTTAGGTATGTCTGATAATTTAAGAAG